TAGCCTGTCTTCGGATTCTGTGACTCCCTCTCTCTCTGACCCTCCCCTGCTCACACTGTCTCTATCTCTCTCTCAAAGAGAAATAAAACATTTTAAAAAATTAAAAAAAAAAAAAAGAAAGACAGTATAAGCTTCATAGCTAGATAGACCTAAATTTGATTTGGGCTCCCTAATTTACTAGCTGTGTTACCTTGGGCAAGTTGCTCAACTTTTCTAAGGTTGTCACTACCTGAAAGTACAAATAAATAAATGCAGTGGTATATACTAAGCATATCATATATACTAGGTGCTAAATATATATTGGTTTCAACTAATTCTAATGTACCACAAAAAAGCTATGTCACTCTAACATGTTCCTTTAGTCCTTTGGGTCTTGTTTCCAACTACTGCAAACTGAGAAGGTGAAAGAAACCAAATGAATTCCTAAGTTCCTTTTAGCTTATCAAAAAATAATTAGTTCCCAAGTTTCCTTTACCTTAATTTAAATTCAACATTTCAGTACTTTATATCCCTCCTAAGCACTGAACAGTACCAAGTACCACCAGGAAGATATCTATGATTTCAGCGGAATGGTATCCAGCTCCATAGCACTTCAAGTTCTACAACAAAAAATTACCATACAAAACCAAAGACTTAACTTTAAGGAAAACTCTACAAGAACATCACAAACCTAATGTAATAAATATAACCAACTGAGGATATACCTTAAATCATTACTCTTTCTTTTGCTGAGATGGAAGATGAGAACTAAAATGTTTATACTATAGAACAAAAGACCCAAGAGACAGTTGGTTAGAGCAACCAATGCCATTTTTCTGAAAAAAATAAAATAAAATAAATAAATTTCTCTTCCCATGTGAATCTTTTTTTATATGTCCTAATCCTTTTTTTTTTTAATTTTTTTATAGTTTATTTATTTTTGAGACAGAGCATGAGTGACAGAGGGGCAGAGAGAGAGGAAGACACAGAAGGTGAAACAGGCTCCAGGCTCTGAGCTGTCAGCACAGAGCCCGATGCGGGGCTCGAACACATGAACCATGAGATCTGACCTGAGCTGAAGTCGGACGCTTAACCAACTGAGCCACCCAGGCGCCCCACTTCCCATGTGAGTCTTAAACCAAGCTTCGAAATTTAAGATACTGTGGGGGCACCTGGGTGGCTCAGTCCGTTAAGCATCTGACTTTGGCTCAGGTCCTGATCTCATGGTTTGTGGGTTCGAGCCCCACGTCGGGCTCTGTGCTGACAGCTCAGAGCCTGAAGCCTGCTTCAGATTCTGTGTGTGTGTGTCTCTCTCTCTGCCCCTCCCCTGCTCTCTCTCTCTTAAAAATAAAATCCTTAAATTTTTTTTTAAAAAAGAAAGAAATTTAAGATACTTGTGTCATTCTGAAACAGAGGGAAATAAAATGTACTCTGAGAGGTGTTTTACAGTGATAAACATTAAATATAGGAAGGTGGTTAGCCATGTTCTCACATTACTTTTAAATTTCATGTTTGGGGTTTACATCCTCTAAAAATAAAATGTTTAAATGCTTGAATATTATAAGCAAGACCTGAGAAAATACTAGCTGATCTTAAATGAAAATATTAACTACAACATTTTTCTTCCTTCCCTCTTCCATAAGAAAATTGTTATCAATGGATTTTCCATTATAGATAAGGCTTTTAGCAAACAACCTTGTGGAGGTTAAAAATACATTTAAACTCATGCATAGAGCTCTTAATCAATGTTTCCCAAACATTTATTTGAGGTTTACCCTATTACTAGCCTGTATAATATTATTCACCTGTATTACAGAATTTTAGAATGCACATCTAAGGTCATAAACCACCACCACCAAAACCAAAACAAACAAAAAACATTTTGCCTTCCAGAAAGAGACAGAAAAGGCCCATTTAACTATTATCTCAAAAGTGTGAAATGAACAATATAGTTTTTTTTAAAATCAACAGCTGTGTTCTATGAGCTAATTTTTTTGTCCTAAAAGATGATGAAGAGGGGTGCCTGGGTGGCTCAGTCAGTTAAGCGTCCAGCTTCGGTTCATGTCATGATCTCATGGTTGGTGGGTTCCAGCTCCATGTCAGGTACTGTGCTGACAGCTCAGAGCCTGGAGCCTGCTTTGGATTCTGTGTCTCCTTCTCTCTCTGACCACACCCCCAACCCCCCAAACTCATGCTCTGTCTGTCTTTCTGTCTCAAAATAAACATTAAAAAAAAAAAGATGATGAAGAGTAAACTAAGTCCCCCAACATGCATGTATGCAAAGGTTAGGAGAGCCACAGAGATATGGTTTAGGTATACACATATCTAGCACAGTGTGAATCAGAGGCAGAAGGCCTGGGTCCTGGTTCTGTCATTACTAGAAAATTGATGTGTGATTTTTGGACAAGTCACTTCACCTGTTTAGTTCTCTTTATCTATAAAACAACAGGAGGATCCATCTGATCTTTCTAAGATTTCTTCTAGTACCTCTAATTAACATCTGTGCACATCCTCAATACAGCATTTGAGGGGCGCAAGACATGGGGCAAAGGCCTGTCATGAGTACCCTTGCTCTCCTCTTCATACATACCGCCAGGATGAACCAGCTTCGTAGACAGCCAAGTACTAAATGGCCTGGCTTTGTGCCTTGGCTAAAGAACACCACTGATGACTGTGAAAGCACTTAAAGAAACTTAGCCAGAGAAAACAATTTTCTGAATGTAGTCCAAAAAAACAGGTAGGGGGGGTGTGAGCCCTCATAACCTCAGACCCTTTGTGTCCTCAGCTTTTCATCTTAGCTAGCAGAAGGCACTGAGGTTATTTAGGTGACTCATGCTTTCTGAGCCTTAAAGGGAAGGTTACTGAAAATGAATGGCTCTCCTCTCTTGAAAATACATATATTTTTATGGTATAGCAGCAGCTATACTATATGCAGCATTCTTAGAATACCTTCATGAAACAGAGTTTAACAGAGTGGTTAGAAGTATGAAATAGGCTCAAATCCTAGCTCTACTACTTACCTGCTGTGGGACATCAGGAAAAAGCTTAACCTCTCCCTGCTTCAGATTCCTTTTTTTGTAAAATAGGGAAACTAATAAAACCTAACTCATAGGGTCATGAAAATTAATCAAGATAATGCATGCAAAGCAGTTACAGCAGAATCTGACAGAAAGTAAATGTTATAGATAGATAGATAGATAGATAGATGATGGATGGATGGATGGATGGATAGATAGATAGACAGACAGACAGACAGAATGATCCTGGGAACTGGGACTCCCTAAAAAAGACTTATCTGAAGGCCACAAACAATTTGCTGGCAGTGAATGGCATCTGCTGATCTTTCCTCTTCTGAGCAAACATTATGGCAAAGACTCAAAGCTGGGCTCAGCTCTTACTAATAGGATCCTGAAGAAATCAGGAGGAAATGAGATTATCCTTAAAGTAGGAAAGAGTTACTCTGGCTTAAGGCAAGATCTTTACAAGAGACAGAAACACATGCACGCATGTGTGCATGTGCACACACACACACATTTAATGTAGTCATACAGGGTTTTTAAAAATATTTTTTTGTATACATCATCTCAAGTATTGCTGGCACCAAAAGCTACAGAATTTTATAACTGGATGGCTCCCTCAAGACCATCTAGTTCAACTCCCTCACCTGGTAGTTAAGCTGAGGCCCAGAGAGGTTAAGCAACTTAGTGGGGTTCATTCAGCAATAAATGACGGTGCCAAGATAAGATTTTTGATTTCCCCTTTTGCCCACCCAGTACTCAGCCTGGTATCTTTCTCCAGATCGGCATCTTATCCTTGTGTCAAACAGAGCATTAAGGCGCGTGTGTGTGTGTGTGTGCGCGCACACACACACACACACACACACACACACATTTTTCACTTTTGCCTAAGTTCCTAAAAAGTCCAGAAGCAACTTCAATGCCCAAGACCTTCTTGCCAGAGCCTCCCATCATGGACACTGGCGAGGATCCCAGTCAATCTATGGCTCTCTCCAAGGTTCTCTTTGGAGTTTTTACGCTTCCCTTCCTGTTCCTTCCTCACTTCGATTCTTAAGTGCTAGTTCACAGAAGTTCCTCAGCAGAAAGGTCAGGTACTTCCCAGGGCAGAAGTTACCTCTGCTAACTTGCAAATTCTCATCTCCCCACAAATGCTATACCTTTCGACAGGAAGGACCGAAGAATCGTTACGGAAATTCTTCCAAGCTCGCTGAGTGAATTCAGTCAGAACGAATCCCTTCCTCCCTGAGGTAACTCAATCCAGTTCATTTATAAAGTGTATGAGCATGTGAAGGACTGGAGAACCCTCGGGTGTGCCTGACACGGAGAGCAAGGTGAAGAGGGGACCAGTGAAGGGGACTAGGGGGAGGGAGATGGGTAGACGGAGCACACAGACCAAACTGCAAAGTGGATCCTGGAGACAAACATCCTGCTGACACTGACTCACTGCTGAAGGGATAGAACGCGGAGGAAATACACTGTTTTAATCATACTCTCTGGGAACCAACAGCCGACTGGTATCCTGAACGTCGCCCAGAGAAAGCAGGCAGAGGCTACCCCTAAGTGGCAGAACCGAGAAACTCCAACTCCCTCCTGTTCCGTTTTCGTCCTCACCCATTGCTGGTCACTCTGGGTGCCTCACGGGCACACCCGGGCTCTCCAGCGCCCCTCCAATCACCCCAGACAGGGAAATACCCCCCCCCCCCGCTCTCCCGTGGGTTGAAAAGAACCACAGGGCATCCGAGATTTCTCTCAACTCTGCCAAATGCTCCCCAGTCCCCTGCCCCTTACAGGGGAACTGATCTGAGAGAAGCCGTCACTGAACTGACAAACCTGGGGCGCTTCTTGTCTCCAAGCACGGGCGCCGGCGATAGGTGTCCCTCAGCCTGGGTCTCCGCTGTGAGGGGTGAGAGGCGGTAAGAGTCACAGCCAAGGTTCCTTCCCCACATGCGACACAGGAAGAAAGGCTTTGCTTTTGCATTTCCACCACCCCCCCCGCCCCCTTACCTGAATTCCGGGACCAGGTTAGGCTGCAACCCGTAGAAAGCAGCGGAGAGAGTGACCAGCCACCCGGGCTTGTAACTCCCGTTCTCGCACTCCAGATAAGGCGGGGACCACTTGACATGGCTCTTGTCCCCGCCAAGCCCGTCCCTGCGCCGCCAGCTATGGCCCAGGCTCCGGGGCCCCTGATTGGAGCCGCGGCGGTGTAAGTGGGTCCTCCACTTGCGCCGCAGGCCGTGGAACCACTCGGTCTCTAGCGTGGCGTTGGCCAGGTGGTGTGCCGAGGAGGACAGGTCCTGGAGCAGGATGCGACTCTCTTCGCGGGTGGCCTGGAGGAAAACCGGCGCGGACAGCGACTCGGTGCTGAAGGTGATGGCTGCCCGGGAAATGCTGGGCTCGCCCTCCAGGAGACTCCGCACCAGCGCCTGGTACCACTCCAGGTCGTCCTGCAAGTTCTGCTCCCGCGACTTATTGCTCTGCAGCATCATGTTGAGGAAGTTAGTGGCGTGTGTCAGCGTGTCCAGCGCCCCGTGCAAGGAGGGATGGGAGCTGGCTAGGGCCGACGACTTCCCCGACAGGCCCGCCAACTCGTAGCGGCTGGAGCAGTTGGCTCGCTTCAGCTCGTGGGAGTCCCCGCTGTACAGGTAAGAGGCCACGTCCGTGGGCACCTCCTCGGCGAGTTTCTGCGCCAAGATGGTGCCGTCGGTGGAGCGGCTCCAGGGAGCCGAGGGATCCGCGGCAGAGGCTCGAGCCGGCTGCTGGGCGTGCTGCTTCAGCCTCAGGGTTCTCTCTCTAGGGGAATCCAGCCGTCCCGGAGGGTCGCGGCTGGCGCTAGCAGTTCCCAATCCCAGATGGGCGAGCAAGAGGCAGAGGAGTAAAGGATAAGCCATGCTTCCAATCCGCTTCGCAGAGAAGGAGAGGAGGTAACGGGAGGAGACACTTTTTAAAATTCGGTCGTCAATTTGTCAGCAGTAGGACTTTTCCTAGGAGTCGCCCCCCTTCTCCAGATGGCCGAAAGGGACTTTAAAATAAGAATGTTTCGGAATTGGCCCGGCTGGCTAAGCTACCGTCACAGGAAATCAAATCACCTGTGGCAACGCTGGCTGCACCCGCTCCATAATGGGTCGGCTCGGGATTACGCACCTCACAGCCTTGAGCAGAACAGGTTACATCTCCTCTCTCTCCCGGCGGCTATAGTTAGCCTGCTTACGTCTTTCGGCTCAGCAGCTTCCACCGTCGCTCTCATTGAGGTGTGTTCGAGAGCTGCTGCTGCTGCTGCTGCTGCTGCCGCCGCGGCCGCCGAAGACGCCGCTCCACCATCTCACCCGCCGCAGGTCGTTCCCGCCTCCCGGCTCTGGCTCCTCCTCGTTCGCTCCGCCGCGGGGCGCGGAGGGCGCGCGCACAGACCCGCACCCGCGAGCGCAGGACCGAGTCCCGGACAGCAAAGCTCTCTCTTAAGACGTTAGTCTCTGTGGAGTTTTTCGGACCAGATAGCTGGTTAATTGGAGCCCTTAGGTTTGGCCACACACCACACTCCTGTCTCTCCTGCTCCGGAGGAAAGCCGGTTTAAAGAGGCAGCTTGGCCGCAACCAAACCCTTGAAGGGCGGCTTCGAGCCGTCTTGTTCTCTGTTTGGTCGGCTCCTGTGTCAATCAGCCGACTGCCATTTGTTGGGCTAGGGCGGGAGCTGTCCAGTGCTGAACCCGAGGCGGCACAGAGGAGGCGCAGGAGGAGGCGGTGGCTCGGGATGCAGCAGCGACGAGTCCTTTCACCCACTCGCGTTCCCTGATGACTCGGAAACCCGAGGAGGTGGGGGTGAGGTGGGCGGGAATGAAGAGAGAAGCGGAGCGTTTGTGGCTCAGAGCGGAGGAAACTTGGACGTACTGAGGAGGAGGGTGTTGGCGTCTTGCTGCTTCGTTAAATCAGCCTTTTCTTTGGCCTGGAAAAGAGGGAGAGAGGAGTTTTCGTTTTTGACTTAAATCGAAGGGGAAGGACGTAGGAGGGAGACGTGTCCTCCTGAGCATCTGCTCATTTTTGGCAAATTATCAAATCCTCCTTCTTATTGTCGGCTAAAGAAATTATTAAAACCTACTTGCTGAGGTCTTAGCTATGAGGGAGTCATGGAGACATCTACCGGCTGAGCTTTAAGGGAAAAAAATGCCGTATTTAGGGAACCTCTGCCTGAAAGGGCGCCAGGATGAAGGGGAGTCTGTGAAAGTGTATGCAAGTGAAAATGTGGAAGGGAGAGGTATGTACAAGGGGATAAAACTCAGACTGTGAGAGAATGAGAATGAGTGAGTCAGTGTTGAATGAGAAGGGAAGTCGTACTGACTGGGAGTTTCTAGAATTAATGGATCTAAGAACCAAGACATCCAGTTAACTATAGATTGGGATATCCCAGCAGAAGAGAGAAGACTTACAGAATGAAATATGTATAATGATAATAATAATAATAATAATAATAATAATAATAAGCTGAATAATATGCCAAGCGCCCCCGCATTATTGGGAAATCTCTTAACACAATCTAATAGTGTTATAGGAAAGCTTAAAAATGTCTTCTGATATTCTGAAAATACTAATTAGTACTGGATGTGTAAGGCTGTGTGCACCTCCATTTTCCATTGGCATGACTGTTTTCAAATTCCCCATGAAACACACAAATAGAAAATCCCAAATTCACTTCAGTTCCCAACCAACAAAATGTCACCGGTGGCATTCTGAGGTAGCACTGCTTAGATTTACTTTACCATTTCATTTCATTCTCTCTATTGAGAAAATACCTAAGTGGTGAAGTGTAATTTCCAAAGAGGAAAAGGTTGTCTGTATTGGTCACTGTAGTATCTTGGACATCTAGAACACACAGAACTGCCTGGTACATAGTAAGTTCTCACTAAAGATTTGCTAAATTAATGAATGAACCAGAAGATATGATGATGAAGCTAATTATTTAAGAAGTAAAGTCTGCCTGATATGTCAGTGATGTAGACTTTTGGAAATAGATGTAGCAATGAGTTTTCCAAATTATAGCACATGGTCTCCAAGTGAGTTTTTATAATATGCAAAAAAATTGTTAATAGATTTATACTTATTTACAAGTAAATTTCATGTTCACAGCCAATTTTTTGTTTAAATTTTGCTTTGCAGTATATGCACCTTTGCTAAATAAAAGTCATCCCAGTTTTATGTTCTACTACAGCATATGTGGCAATAATAAGAGGAGTTTCTGTTTGTTTAATTTATCATAGTATACAATATGATTTTCTATCTATTTAAACAGTTGAGGACTGAAATGTAATTTCCTCCCTAATTAATGTTTTTAGAAAACATAGGTAATTTATTAACAGTTCTTTAAAATTACCCAGCATGGCATTTAAAAAAGAATTATAATTTTATTAGTAGATCCTTCTATAAGTAATTCAATGACTGAACATAATTAAAAGATTTTGGTTCTGGTACTATCGTTAGTCTAAGCAAGATATATGATCACTGGCAAGACATTTAAAGTTCTGTGTCTTAGGACACACATTGTATCTGGGCTTCGTGACTTTACACTGAGGGAGTACTAAATGGTATCTGAGCCCCTCTCCCAGAGGTGCAGCCCTTCTGTAGCTTATGTCTGCCAAGAACAGAGCAAACTATGAGAGGCCCTTGCAATTTTAGCATTCCCTTCAGTAGTTCATCTTCAATCTATATTGCCAAATAACTGAGGTGGACTATTTGGGATTAGAACAGCACTGCCAAAATAGAAATATAACGTGAGCCACAAATGTGATTCATACATATAATCTTAAATGTTCCAGTAGCACATTTAAAAAGTAAAAAGAAAAAACAAAAATAATTTTAATAACGTACTTTATTTAGCTTAATACATACAAATATTATTTCAATAAGTAAACAATATGACAATTATTAGCAAGATATTTTAAGATTTTTAAAAAATTTTTCAATGTTCTTATTTATCTTTTTTTAATGTTTTTATTTATTTTTGAGAGAGAGAGACAGAGAGTGAGCAGGGGAAGGGCAGAGAGAGAGGGAGGCACAGAATCCAAAGCAGGCTCCAGGCTCAGAGCTCTCAGCATGGAGCCTGATGCGGGGCTGGAACTCACTGACTACAAGATCATGACCTGAGCTTAAGTCCACTGCTTAACCAACTGAGCCACCCAAATGCCCCTGTTTTTATTTATTTTTGAGAGGGAGAGACAGAGAGAGAGAGAGACAGACAGACAGACAGAGAGAGAGAGAGAGAGAACTGGCCGGGGAGGTGCAGAGAGAGAAGGAGATACAGAATCTAAAGCAGGCTCCAAGCTCTGAGCTGTCAGCACAGAGCCTGATGCGGGGCTCAAACTCACAAACCATGAGATCATGACCTGAGCCAAAGTCAGATGCTTAACCAACTGAGCCACCCAGGCACCCCTACATTTTTATACTAAATATTCCAAATTCAATGTATATTTTACACTCACAACACATGGCATTTCACACTAACCATATTTCCAGTGCTCAATAACCACCTGTGACCAGAAGCTACCATAGAGTGCAAGCTCAAGAAGATAGTGCATTGTTACCTTGAATGCTCTAGAAAGCCTAGTTCTAGTATACTGGTCTGATCCATTTAATAGGTCTGGAGTCAAGATAACTGAGTAGTAGACAACACTTTGTCAAGGTCAGTGTCCATCAATGAAGGAATTAATCCAAAAGAGGTTTTTATAAAAGACCAAGATTTAACGCATACTCATATGCCTCTAAACAGATTACAAAATTACACACCAATTCACAAAGACATAAATGTTGATTGAACCTTTATTATGTATAGGCATTAGGCCTGCTACTAGGACAAAAGAAACACATCTTCTGCACAACAGACACATGGGCCTTACAGTCAAGTGGGTAGAGAGAAAATTAAAACAGCAAACAAATAAGCTAAAAAATTATATATAGTTATAACTGTCATGAAGAAATAAACACTGAAGTGATAAAAACTGCAGGGCATGGGGGTAGGGAGCTTCTATATAAAGAGATAAAGAAAAGAGAGACTTCTAGGAGAAGGTAATATTTAAGCCAAGACCTCAAAAATAAGGAATCGTTAACTAGATGGTAGGTAGCAGCGAATTAACTAAAAGATGGAAAGAATCTTGCCTCACGTACAGGGTGTAATCTATGAGTACACTAAGACTACCAATATTCCATCCTTAACAGGAAGGAGTACTGGAAGAAAATAACTACAATAACCTGAAGGTCATATATGATATGAAAAGCACAAACAATTGAGGCAAAAAGAAAATCATTTTATAAAACAATCAAGTAATTTTGGCATGAATAGCTTCCCCCCACACACACACCAATTACATGATAATAATTTGCAAATATAGACAAATAACCCTGTGTGGTCTCAAAATTAAGAATGAAGTTGTCTAAATACATAGTGATACTGCATAGGAGCTTGACTGTAATAGAACAATGCATACAAGACATGTAAGCCCTATGTGAAAAGGCCCAAAGCTTTATCATTACAGTTTGAGAAGTCAATCTAATTGCTTTAGAACAGTGAAATTTGCACTGATAAAAAAAGCAATATGCAATGGAATGATGAGGCATTAGTTGTCATACAATTAATTTATCACTATTATAAAAAAGAAGATGTGATGTTTGCATATCTTTAAGTAAAAGAAATTAAAGGAGGTCATGGAAAACAGTGTGGAGTTTCCTCAGGAAATTAACACTAGAACTCCCCTATGACCCAGCAATAGCACTGCTAGGAATTTACCCAAGGGATACAGGGATGTTGATGCATAGGGGCACATGTACCCCAATGTCCATAGCAGCACTCTCAACAATAGCCAAAACATGGAAAGAGCCTAAGTGTCCATCAATGGATGAATGGATCAAGAAGA